TAAAGCTTTTATGATACATGTTATCATAACATAACTGCTGAACTTCACATGTCGGGGTATAAAGTTGTGTGGCATAAATGTTTAAAGAGCTGTAAACTTAACCTAAGTGTATATATTTTAAAGTTAGTCAAGTAACTACATGTTTGTGCTCAAAATGTCTGTTCGTATGAGATGGCCATGTACCCTTTGCAGTCAGCAGAGAGAGATAGGTGCTTCATGAGGGTTATTCACCTCTTCTGACATGGGCACCTGTCTAAAGATCATGTGAAATATATCCTAAATTGCCTTCTAAATCCACGGAAGCTCTATGGCATCCACAGCATCCTGTGACAAATATTTTCACAATTAATTGTGAAGTAATCATTTCCAGTTCTGGGCTCCTCAGTTCAAGAGAGGCGTGGACATACGGGAGAGAGTCTAGTGAAGGGCTACAAAGGTGATGAAAAGACTGGAGCACCTCTTTTGTGAGGAAAGGCTGAGAAAGCTGGCACTGTTTATCCTGGAGCAAAGAAGGCTCAGGGGGTCTTACGAATGTCTATAAATACCTGAAAGGAGGGTGCAAAGAGGACAGAGCCAGGCTCTTTTCAGTGGTGCCCAGTGACAGGACCAGAGGCAATGGGCACAAAGTGAAACACAGGAGGTTTCCCCTGAGCATCCACTTTTTCTCACTGTGAGGGTGACTGACCACTGGCACAGGTTACACAGAGGGGTTGTGGAGTCTTCATCTTTGGAGATACTCAAAAGCTGTCTGAACGTGGTCCTGAGCAACTGATTCTAGGTGGCCCTGTTTGAACAGAGGGGTTGGATGAGTTGACCTCTAGAGGTCCCTTCAAACCTCAACCCATTCTGGGATTTTGTGATTCCTTTGGCTTTTCCTGTCCTTATATTATGAGAGACCGCAATCACTCATTTTCCCTGTGCTACTAATAATTCTGCAGACCTCTCTGATAGCTTTTTTCAGTCACTTTTGAATGGAGATCAGGTGGAGCAGAACTGTACTCAAAATAAGAGGTGCCATGGATGTGTACTGTAGCAGGTAGCATATATAAATATACAGTGTATGTAGATAGCTTCTGCTTTTCTTCTCAGTTTCTTTGCTAATAATTCTGAACACTTGGCTGATGTTTTCATAGAGCAGACTATCAAAACTTGAAGATCTGTTTTTCTTCTGGATGGTTATTTTTGGTTTAGCATCTGTTAGTGTGCAGATAACTTTTATTTCTATACATGCATAGCTTTACCTCTAGCAACACTAAATTTTATCTGGCAGTCTATTAGCTTGTCACTAACTGTAATGAGATCCCTCTGTACCTCTTTATAGTTGACCTTTGTTTTTATTAAATTGCTCTGAAAAACAGTTCATGTTCATCATCAGCAAATGTCATGGTTTCACATTTCCCTCTTCTCCCCTATAGGTTGAAGAGCTTGAAACCTAGTATAGATTTTCTTTGTAGGATCATTCTGGTGACATTTATTCGCTGCAAAACTAACTGCTCCTTCTTTTGTTTCCTATTTTAAATTGGTTATTGTCTGTGAGAGGGCTTTGCATTTATCTAATGGCAGATTAGTTTCTTTTAGAGCCTTGGTGGAGAGAGTTTGTCAAAAACAATAAAAAAGTACAAAAGTTACCTTTGCTGGCTTATTGCTTACAGAGCTCTAAAAGATACTGCCCTGGGGATCTAATTTTATGTACTTCATGATTTTAAATCTAAAATTATTTGTTGACTTCATGCTCTTTTGCAGTCCCTGCAGAACGCTACAGCTTCCTTCCCTCTTCAGTGTTCTTGGCCTGTGGGGTCATAAACTTCGGTGGAACTTTGGGTGAGATTTTCATATTCATTGTTAAAATCCTTCCTTATTTATGCTGGAAAGCTGCGTTAACCTTTCTGCTGTTGGTTACAGATTTTATTCTAACAAATATGTTAAAGATGACTAGTAAAGGAAAGATTTATAAAGGCAAAATAAAGAGGAGTTTTAGCCTGTAATTAACATTGAGACTTTCTCTAGGAGAGTTACTGTAAAAATGAAGGGGAAAGAATGGAGAGAAAAGGAAAATCTAGAATAAAGTTAACAGAATTTGGCATTTTTGCAAAATGTCCGTGTCCACAGCTTAGTATACTCTTGCGGAGTGTAACAATCTTTGAATATAATGGGATAAAATAGAAAATTACGATATTCCCTCCCATTCAAACAGGAAGACCTCTAGAAAGTGGAATTTGTGTGACTCTGTATTGGGTTTGCTGGCAAGGTTTTAGTAGTAGGGATGCTACAGGGATGGCTTCTGTGAGAAGCTGCTAGAAGGTTCCCCTGTGTCTGATAGAGCCAGTGCCAGCTGGCTCCAAGATGGACCCACTGCTGGCCAAGGCCGAGCCCATCAGCAACAGTGGCAGCGCCTCTGGGATAAGATATTGAAGAAGTGTGGGGAAAAAAAACCCTGCTGGAAGTCCACGCTGGAGCAGGTTTGCTGGCAGGACTTGTGACCCTGCAGGGAACCCGTGCTGGAGCAGTCTCTTCCTGAGTGACTGCACCCCATGGAAGGGACCCACTCTGGAGCAGTTTGTGAAGAACTGTGGGAAGGACTCATGTTGGAGAAGTTCATGGAGGACTGTCTCCCATGGGAGAGACCCCACAGTGGAGCAGGGGAAGAGTGTGAGGAGTCCTCCCCCTGAGGAGGAAGGAGCGCCAGAAACAACGTGTGATGAACTGACCCCAACCCCCATTCCTTGTCCTCATGCGCTGCTCGAGGGGAAGAGGTAGAGAAATCATGAATAAAGTTAAGCCCAGGAAGAAAGGAGGGGTGGGGCAGAAGGTATTTTAAGATTTGTGTTTCTTTTTTCATTATACTACTTTGATTTGATTGGTAATAAATTAAACTGATTTCCCCAAGTTGAGTCTGTTTTGCCCGTGACGGTAGTTGCTGAGTGATCTCTCCCTGTCTGTATCTCGACCCATGAGCCTTTTGTTGTATTTTCTCTCCCCTGAGAGAGGGAATGATAGAGCAGCTTTGGTGGGCACTTGGCGTCCAGCCTGGTTCAACCCACCACAGACTCAATGAAATTAGGATGTTTATAATAGTATACCTTCATGATACCATTGAAAATTAGAGGAAACACAGAGGTTAATCATTTGTCTTAGAAAAAATACTGAAGGCAGTGTGGCCTTGGAAATCATCTCGCAATACTGAGCTTGCAGATAGGAAGGGAATAGCTTTGCTACAGAACGGGAGGAGCGGGTCATACTGCTGATGTTCCAGGATGATTCCTTGGCAGCAGCCTGAGCAGGCTTGCATTCGGGTTGCTAGAAGTCCAAACTGGGGACATAGGTTAGACTTTGTTGTCTTACAGTTCATTTCTTTGTTGGTGAAATATTTTCCAGGGAAGAGTAAACTTTTGATCCTCCATGAAGCATGCGATCCTTGTGTAAATTTGTAAAAGCATTCCTTCCTCCCTTCACTTTTGCCCAAGTTGATACTAAACAGAACCTGCATGAATACTGTGGGCAGGATTTGTGTTGCCAAACAAGCGCCCGTAGTTAGTAGCACAAGTTTGTCACCATCTGCAGAGATGGAGGAGATGGATTGCCCTCTGAAGATGTCTCTATCAGTCTCCTGACTAAAAACATGGAAACAGCCTGAAGTGACTAGTACAGTCATTCAGAATGAATGAGGTGAATCCCACTTTATGTTTCTGGCTGTGGTAATCTGTTTTGTTGTTGGTTTTTTTTTGTTGTTTGTTTTTTTTTTTTGTTTTTTTTTTTTTTTAGAAGGGCATAGAATACTTCTGGGTTCCAGCTTGATCAGATGCCAGGGTACTATGGGAGCGTTTAATTGAATAGCGCAATATAGAGGGGAGGAGCTCTATGAAGAGCTAGCACTGAAAAGGGGAGACAACTCTCAACTCCTTTTCATTTTATTTGTCTGTAAGAACAGTACATGTAATAATACAATACATGTAATAATAGTACAACAAGACAGTACACATAAACTATAAAATGAAAAGTTGCATTGTATCAGCATAACAATGAGGGAGGGAGTTCAGCAGAATGTCTAAGGATTAGGTTTACAAGGAAGAAGAGGGTGCACATGGTTAAATTATGTGGGATACCAAGATGAATTAACAAAGACTTGTCTAGACCTGTGAATGCAGGAAAGCTTGCTGCAGGCTGAAGCAACGGAAGAATAGTTTCCTGCACCTTGATATGAGTTGGTCAATAAATGAAACAAATTGAGAAATACTTTTATCCTGTGGACAAGTTATTTAATAATTAGGAACAGGTTAGGATGTTTTACATGTGTTTTCCTGAGGAATCTGCTGATGATGACTGACATGGAACCAAGGGTTCTGTAATACGTAGGATAGCTCACATAGGTAGGCTTTTCAGTACTTACCAAACAGGCACATAGGCAATAGTGGTACTGTTTAAGCTGTTTGGAAATGTTATTCCAAAGTTATTATAAAGTGTTATTATAAAGTTTCTAGCTGTAGGAAATTTGAAATTTGAAAAGAAAGTGATGAAGTTAGTTTAAAAATTATGAGATTTAAATAAGATACTGATTTTATTTATTCACTCTTAATCAGTAAAGTGTTTCCAAACACAAAAGTTTTCCAGTCCTGGTTACGGTAGAAAAAATCTGGGTGAGCGAGAGTATTGAATGGTATCGGCAATACACAGGAGCAGGATCTATAATAAAAAGACCAAATATTACGAGACTCCTGTGACTGGTGCTTACGTAAATTGTGTCAACCTAAAGTGTAAATATGTATTAAGGATCCTTTCGTCATTAAGGAAAGCGAAGCAACTGTTTGGTTCCCATTGGTATCAGAGTCTTACTTTGTTTCTTTACATTTCTTTTTCAGATGGAAATACTGACACAAATTTAAGAACTTTGATGCTTTCAGATGTTGAATTTTGATTTGTGAAATGACCAGGAATAAGATACTGCCTGAACAAGACGAAATGCCTTGAAGACCTTCAGTTCTGCTTTCATCTCTCCTGAAGCAATGGTTTTCTCAGCAATGTTGACGCTGGCCCACTCTGGGACCTCAAATGCTACTTTTATTGTTTATGAAAATGCCTATACGAATTTTACCACTCCCCAGTTCTTGCTTCGTAGTGGCACAACACAGCCATTGAGATATAGTTCCGGTGCTGTGCTCACCACTGAGAGAAGTACTTTTCTGGTAAACACTACAGCTATCCTGCCATCACAAGAAGTTTTCAGGAGCTTGAGTTTGCCACTCCAGATCATTCTTTCTGCTGCTATGATATTTATCCTGTTGGTTTCTTTCCTTGGAAACTTTGTTGTCTGCCTCATGGTCTACCAGAAGGCAGCTATGCGATCTGCAATTAACATCCTCTTAGCAAGCCTGGCTTTTGCAGACATGCTGCTGGCAGTGCTGAACATGCCTTTTGCTCTGATAACAATCATCACCACTCAGTGGATTTTTGGGGATATATTCTGCAGAGTGTCTGCCATGTTTTTCTGGCTTTTTGTCATAGAGGGGGTAGCCATTCTTCTTATTATTAGTATTGACCGATTTCTCATCATAGTTCAGAGGCAAGATAAACTGAACCCTTACCGTGCAAAGATTCTCATTGTGATTTCCTGGGCAGCATCCTTTGTTGTTGCTTTTCCGTTATCAGTAGGGAATCCTAATCTGCAGATACCCTCGAGAGCACCTCAGTGTGTGTTTGGCTACTCTACAAGCCCAGGTTACCGAGCCTATGTGATAGTCATCTTGCTAATTTCTTTTTTTATTCCATTCCTAGTAATGCTGTATTCTTTTATGGGCATACTCAACACCGTCCGCCACAATGCAGTTCGCATCCATAGCCACCCTGATAGCATATGCCTCAGCCAGGCCAGCAAACTTGGTCTCATGAGCTTACAGAGACCTTTTCAGATGAATATTGATATGAGCTTTAAAACTCGTGCCTTCACAACCATCTTAATTTTGTTCCTTGTCTTCATAGTCTGTTGGGCGCCCTTCACCACTTACAGCCTTATTGCCACATTCAACAGCCACTTCTACTACAAGCACAACTTTTTTGAGATAAGCACTTGGCTCCTTTGGCTCTGCTACCTCAAGTCTGCACTGAACCCCCTGATTTACTACTGGAGGATTAAGAAGTTTCATGATGCATGCTTGGACTTGATGCCCAAATACTTCAAGTTTTTGCCACAGCTACCTGGCCATACAAGGCGGCGCATTCGACCCAGTGCCATCTATGTGTGTGGGGAGCATCGGTCAGTAGTGTGAAGCTGCGGTTGTTTGACAGTGATTGCTATTTTCTGGGATTATTTGTTTTTTAGGCTTTGGGTTGAATTTTGTTTTGTTTAATATGGCTTCTTCAGTATGGCCATATCTTATAACTTGATTAAATTTTGCAGTACTCTGTGCAATGTGGGTAAGGAAAGATCAAGGGAGGGAAAGTGATTGGTTGTAGTTGGGTTTACTACCAGAATACAATGTCAACAAAATAACAAATGTTACCTCTAGGATTCCATGGAAATCCATTCTTTTAAATGAAGACTGCATTTGTAACATTTTGTCAGGTTTATGCTTACTAGGCCTGCAATTGCATCTAATTGTAGGGACTTTTTATGCTGCTAAGATACAGTATATTTAGTTGGTGTAATTTTTCGGAAAAATGTTGCTGCTGTCTGTCAATATATCAGAGCCAAAAAGTCTGATTAGGTTACTTTTATTTAATTTTAACAATATTTTGGAAGTTTTCATGGTGACGCTAGAAAACTTTTTCCTTTTTTTTTTAATATTTCCATTAATATTTTTGTGCACTTTATAAAATCTACTATAGAATTTGTTCATTGGAATATTTTGTTCTGTATTGAAGGGGTATTATTATTATTTGTTATATTGGTGAATTTCAATGAAAGACACATGTAAGCTCTCGGAGGGCAGCTTATGTTGGTATAGGTACACCTAAAGTCATTGATTTGCTGTTTTTCTAACACCTGATACAACTGATCAAAAGTCACATTACCCGCTCAGTTATCGGCGGGGTTGGAACAAGAAAATGGAGGAATGAAAGGGAAAGCAAGCAGTGAAAATACCCTGTCCCAAGGTTTAGGCTAACACAAGTTCTAGAAAAATACAAGTTCGTGAGAAAATTTTTGCAGGGAGAAATCGTGGCTATAGTTGTTACTTTAGGCTGCTACGTGCTATCCAAACCTGATGGTATGCCTGAAAACCTGTCTGAAATTGAGACTTTGGGCCTACAATTTACACTGTGTTGGTATGATGCTGTTTCTGCTTGGCATTCATCTAAGTCTGGGTCTGCTCTACACTGCTGAAATCATACTGCCCAGGCATTTGTTGGGGTAGAATTAGAAATAGTAGGTAAACCAGCAAACAAACAGCACATGAATCATAGTTGAGGCTAGGACTTAGTCTGTGTAGTAATGACTGCAAAAAAAAAATAATTAAATCCTCAACTTACTTGTTTTCCAGTTTAAGTATTAAACAGAAATCATAAACTGATAATAACGAGTAACAGTTGGCCAGCAGAGTTTGCTGGGAATGTGAGTTAAATTCCCCTTTTCCCTCCGATACTACTTTACATTGATTTTTTTGTTGCCCCTTTTCCTCTGTAGTGTCTGCTGCCTGAAGGGTTTACTCTGCTGTTGCCATCTATTAGACATCAGCTTCTCCCCCTGAAATGCCAAACCACCTTTCTGATTAATGTCAGGCTGTCTCGGTACCTGTCTGGAAAGCAGAAAGGCAAAGGTTTTCCTTGATGATAGCAATTCAGACTTAGATTTTTTTTTTTTTTTTTTTAACCAGCTAATTAAATATTTAATATGAGGTAAGTAAAATTAAGACTTAGGTTTGAGTTTTGAAGTGAGATCCCCGGTTGCTCTGAGGCTGAGGAAGAATGACTGCAGAGTTTGTGCATCCTCGCAGTGGGCTTTTTGGAGCTGTCTATGATCAAGTACAGGAGGATTAATGTGCAACATACTTACCAACCAGGGCTAGGGTTTGGGCTTCTCTTGCTTCCATCTCTCTTTCAGTTCCCTGAAGCATGGGGACCTCTTCATTGCTCTTGTCCCCAAGGAGCAAGTAATAGCAACGTTATCTGTTTCTATCTATCCACACACTACAGGGCATTTCCTTCTCTGTGTGTGAAGGAAATGCCGTGTTTTATGTGGATGTCCAGGGAGTGCTTGCTTCCAGAGGTGGACTAAACATTTACACCCTAGATTTTATTTAGGTCTTCAGTGAAGAATTTATTTAACAGTTATCTCTGGTCTTCTCATTGACAACTATAGGTAAAGGTGCTGGCAATATTTAAATTTTAGGAATACAAAAAGAACAATTTTGGATCTAGTAACTTCATTTAAGAAAAAAAAATCTGCTAGCTGAGATTGTGGGTTACATGCAAAGGCACCCAGGCAGAGGCAATGCTATCAATGCCCATGCTTTCCGTTCCTTGTCAACTTCACTGACGATGGTGTGGATTTTTCTGATCAAAATGACAGGCAGTAAAATGTTCCTCTGTAAACCAGAGTGTTTTATGTGTCTTTGCAGTATAGATTTTATTTCTCAATTACATTTACATTGATAGTGGAAGTTTATGACCTGCTTAGTGTGGATTTTCTGTTTCAGAGCTGTCATGCCTGTTTATCTCTGAAAGCAGCAAAATTGTGCTTAGAGCTAATGTAATAGAGTGAGAGCATACACTTGTCAAAGATGGCAGGAACAGGTATTTTTGCTGTCTTCCAGAGCTATAATGTAAGAGGTTTCAATGAATGTCGTAAAGCATGGTAATTCGAGAAGGAAAGAAGATGACTAATACAGGAAAGTTAGTGAAATGACTTTGTTGAATGGGGAGGGGAAAATATTCTGTGGGGATTTCATAATCTCTGATAAGTACTGGCTGTGAAATAGAAATTGCAAACATCAAAGGAAGTTAATTTGTCTTGATAATTTAGTCTTTGTTTACACTGACTGTAATAGTGTTTCCACTCACAGCTGCATCTGCTGGTACTTGGAGAAAAGAAACCCCTGTTGTGTGGCCGAATTTCAGAGGTGACTGACATGGTGATACAGTATTCACACAGGTTTTAGAGGTGATCAGAGCATGCAGTGAACAAAAGGGTGTTCAAAAAAAGCGACTGGGTGGCATAGAAGTATCCCCAGGGTAAATACGTGTTTACAGAACTATTTGGGCTATTGTGTCTAATATACTGTCTTTAGAGCAGTGCCTTGATAATTACAGCTGAAGTCCTAGGACCAAGTTGAAGACCGCTAAACTGCTCAGTCTTGCTGTCTGTGATCCTGTCAAGGTCAGCATAACCTTGCTAACATTCGTAATGTTAAAACACATATGTCTTGGTGGGATTGGGGCTACTGAGGCCTTTTAGTGGGCTTGAACAAGACCAAGGATTTTAAAAACTGAAATTGATCCTTTTTGATTCTACTGGGGAATTATAATTTTCTTCCTCTGCAGAAATGATACTTGTTACTCAATTGTATTCCCTCATGTTGCGTTTTCAGAAATCTTTGGTATGGAGGATTGAAATGAATGTATTTTGAATTATGTTGCGGTTTAATTCATTCTGTCAAAGCATGCTGCTTACACAAGTCTCATTTGTACAAATCTATTGCTAAAACGATTCTTTTGTACTCAAAGTTGTGTATTTTTGACATTTCTTGTTAGTCATGTAAAAATATTTATGTATATAGAGAAGAAAGTTGTTTTGCCTCTTACTGCTTTCTGTTACTATTCTTTTTCACTTGTATGCTTAATGCTTTTGTATTTTCTTTATTTGGGCATATGCATAAACAACTGCAAGATTTCAGTGAGTGGTCTTTCTGCAACCGTTTGAGATTTTTAATTCTCAACTCACTCAAAAGTGCCCTCCTTGAAAGAGATTTTGATTTATTTTTGTGTGAAAAATAAAAATTCAGAGCACAAACTTGTTGCGGCTGGAATGATGAGGGATTTAAGTCAAGTTTTCTAGGAGCCACTACTCTGCCATTATGAACTGGTTTGATCTTTTTTTGAGTAGTCATTTTCTGATGTGGAGAAACCTTGAATTACTGTTTTGAAACAAGCTGTTAAGTAGAATGACATTGTCTTTTCTGTACATATTACACCTGTGAAAATACCTGAGAAACGGAAAAAAAAAAAAAAAGAAAAAATAAATATGAACATTCTCAAAATCTAGCAAAAGTCTATAGAATTGCTGTATCTTTGTGCATTCACAGGTTTCTTGGACTTAATGCCGAATTTCAGTTTCAGACACTTTATCTGTATATTAAATAACAAAGATTATTGGCCTGATTTAGATGGTTTTGTTTAAGCCAAAGTGTTTCTTGTGTAAAGAATTTACGGAATGCTCTTTTCTGAGACGTTGGGGTAGAGATGTATCAATATATCTAAGACAAATGAAGTAATATCCAGTAAAAGAGAGAGAAAGCCTAAAAAGAAAACAACTTTCCTGAAAATAGTACCTGAACTGGGTATACTACCTTTTAGCTAGGACTGAGTAACTAAGATAATCTTATTGTGCAATAAATAAAACAGGCAGTGGTACTGCATGACATGATTCATTTCAACACAAGACTGACCTTTATGATTCAAGTGCTGCAGGTTTGTGTGTGATGGATTATTCCCCATATTAGTAAAATGAAAAATGTTCAGCTTGCTAATGGTTTAGCAGAAATTCTGCTGGAGTAATTTATCTAAATGATAAAGAGTCAAGGTCTGTCCCTAAAGAATACCCCGAGAGGGGATGGGTATTTCCAGTTGCTTGGGAATGGTCCTTCTTGCTCAGCTTCCCACATGCCTAATGTTGAGACTCCTTCCCCGTACCTCTGCAACAATCACTTTTTCCTCCCTTCTCCTCCCCTAGTCCCCTCCACCTCCTCGAGGTAGCACCTTCTGTGCTGCTGTGTTGCAGCAAGTACAGTGGTGGTAGGAGATACTGGTGCTGATGGCAGGAGGAGGTGGAGGTGCCTGGAGAAGTTGTGGAGCCAGCCAGCCTCTTTCACCTAGTCCCGCTCCCTCCTGTCTTGAGTACAGTTTGGACCATCAGTGGTGGGCTGAGGGTGAGTTTTATCGCCTTTGGTTATCAGATTAGGGCTGTCAGCGGAGAGCTGTTACAGGAGCATGTGTATTTGCCTTTAGTGCTAGTGCAGGATTCTGGTTTTATCCCCCGTAGTGTTACAGATTTTAGTCCACCCCCATCTTTTGTCAAATGAGCTACGACGGTCTATAGCCAATTCATGGCTGA